GAGTATTGCCAGTGGTGAAGTTGCGGAGAACGAGGAGAGCAGGAGCAACGGTAAGACCGTGAAGATGGAGATGGAGATGGGGAGCGACGTCTATAATGACGTTCGTGATAGTGAGTAGATGGAGACAAGAACGGAGAGGGTAGGCTCCGTGGGGAATATACATGAAGAGGGCTTTCTTGATATTCCGGAGAACTTGGTGCCAGTTGAGATGGGGATGGTGCCAGAGAGAAGACAAGTGAAGATGATCGGCTACGGCACGGTGATGTCCGGGGGCACGAGGTCCTAGCATCAGTGCCGGGGTAGTGTGGTGCCGTCAGTGCCAACGTGGTCGGTGCCGTGGTAATTATGGACGCTACGCTCGGTGCCGCTGAGGCTGGCGCCATTGCTTCAGAGGGCTTCATCGGCGCCAGGAGTGTTATCAGTGCCGGCCATAAAGGCACAGGCTCCGGGGCCATAGTCGTCAGTGCCCCATTCTCAGTCCCCAGAGTAGATGGTGCCGAGGGTGCTCTCGGTGCCGTACGTGGTTTTGGCACCGGAGGTTTCAAAATCTGCAGGGCCGGCATAAATCGCAATGCCAAGGCTGGCTCACAGCCCGCTTTCAATTTCTGATGTACATCAGACTTCAGTCACAGCACTGAAGTGCCGGACGTGCCCGGTTTATCTCCATGACTAACTCGGCCGTGAGAGACCACTGATAGAGACCATGTTGGGGAGGGTCTTGTCTTTTTTGCAGAAGAGGTTGTTGGGGAGGAGGCTCTACGCTTCGCTGGCTGGCGTGAAGCAGAAGAGGGAGTTTGCGGCTGGAGTGCCTGATCGAAAAGGAGCATCTTTAGCCACCGTTCCCTGTCCTTTTGTGCCCGAGAAGTCAGCTTAGTGCAGTGAGCACACTTTTGGGGCACATGAAACTCCACTAAACATTTCACACAGAGGGCGTGGCCGTCGGAGGCCGGCATAGATTCACGGCACTCCTGGCATTTTTTGAAGCCTGGTGAAGAGGACATTTTTCTTCCTCCTTGTTGTTGTTTCTTTTTTTTTTGTTTGTTTTTTGTTTTAAACTGAGAGAACAGGAGGGCAACGAACAGGAGGATAGTTAACTCTATCAGAAATTCAACGGGGGGGGACAGAAACTTAGAACGGGAAAGAAAGCCTCTAAGGTAAACTTTTTTTTTTTTTTAAGATCAACAGAGGGGAACGATAACAAAGAAGAGAACGATAAAAAGGAGAAGAGATTAAGAACGTCTCACAACACAGAGCAGTCGGAGAAGGGAGAGCGCAGTTCCTCGCATCTGCAGTCTGAGGCGGTCAAGAGGAACTGGCGGGGGCCAGACTGTGCACAGAGAAAGAGTGAGAATGCCACGAGTAGCGACGCATGCGCAGTCTGGTCGACTACTACTTCTGGAAAAGTCTCCGTCTGCGGCGTGGGGCAAGCCCAGCACCAACAATGGAGCACCCGCGGAGACATCCTCGAAGAAGAATGAAGCATTGCCCACGGTTGCATTATTGTCTCATAGTATTCAATACTGGACGAGTCTATGTTGTCATGTTACAATGGGTACACAAAGAAGCAAAATTAACATTAGTGTGAGAATTAGAACTGTAAATTTCCTGACATTTGTGAGATTCTCAACCTGAATGTCACATTTTACCACACACACATGCGCACGCACACACACACACACACACACACACAATTCTGAGTTATGCCAGGCAGGATAAAATATATTTATGCTCCAGTTTTTTCAGTCTCTATAGAAATCTTTCCCAAGAGTCTGTTTTATTAACTCAGGGATATATTAAGGAAAAATCTGATATTCATACTTTCATCTCAGCATTCTTACTGTGATTGTTGGAAGCCAGTCAAGGAAACAGGAAAAACAGATTTGCGTTCACTCTTCTTTATATTTTTTTAATTTAATTTTCAGTAGTAACAAGTCCAAAATGGAATTTTAAGACTCCACAATATACTGCAGCGATCAAACACTTTCCCAGATATTTTTAACATTTTTTGCAAAACATTCAGAATTTTATTTTGCATACAGATCCTGCAGGATTCTTTTTTTGTTTAGTCCCAATTTGGAGGCAATTAAAGGAAAAAAGAAAAGTATTCTCATATCAGCTTTCTGAGACAGGTGATTTTGAGGAGGGTGAAGAGGCACCCCTACAAATGTCAGTATTTATATTTTAAACAAAAAGAAATACTGTGAAGTTGGAGACAAGAGCACTCCCACAATTCTTTCTCCACAAGGAGAAATTCTTTCCTTATTCTTTTCTTTCTCCACAGGGAGAATTCTTGCAATTCTTTCCTTATTCTGAAACTGTTCATATGAATTCCCAGGAAAAAAAACTATGGTAAAATGGAGTTACATTTGAGAGTACAGCAATTTAGGATAAAATGCATTGCAAGGATGTTATTCTTGTCCCAAAACCAAACATTGTAAATCGTGGAAATTCAGAGAGGAGGTTAAACTTAAATCCAAATAAGTTGAATTATACAAAGTAGGGATGTAAAATCCCATTTAATTGGTTAACCAGTTAAATGTAATTTTTAATTGGTTAATCAATTAAAGCAGAACTGGGCAGGCTGCAGTGCCCCCTATCTTAGCCAGGCTGAAGCTTCATACCTCCCACGCCAGGGATGGGGCTGCTCTGGCCAGGCTGGAGTGCCTCTGCCTGCGGCATGCTAGGGCTGGGCTCGTTGCAAATAGGGACTGCTCCAGCTAGCTGGAGAACCCTTGCCTTTAGCAGGCCCATGCAAGCCTGCCATGGAGAGGGGCTACTCCAGCTTGGCTGGAGCGCCCCTGCCTGCAGCAGGCCCCACGGAGCTAAAGCAGTTCCTTGCCCGCAGTCAGTGGGGAGCAGCTCCAGCCCCCACCAGTTAACCATTCACATCCTTAGCAGATGTGAATTAAGTTTAACTTGATTTAAGTTATGTTGACATTCATCCACCACTATAATTAAACAACTGTTGAATGGTGAACTGTTGAACACATCCACTGAAGGTGTTTTTGCATCAACAAAGAGAGTAGTGCTAGTGGATCTTGCTGACTTCTGAGATGAACAACAATTACTAAACATATAATTTAAGGTTTGTCAAGTCATTCAAAAATAATTAGTTTAAACTAGGGCTGTCAAGTGATTTAAAAAAATTAATCACAATTAACTGTGTCATTAAAAAAATTAATGAATAGTCATGCAATTAATCACATTGTTAAACAATAATAGAATACCATTTATCTAAATATTTTGAATGTTTTCTACATTTTAAATATATTCACTTCAATTACAACAGTTATATTTAGTTTTATTACAAATATTTGTGCTGTAAAAAATAAAATAAATTGTATTTTTCAGTTCACCTTATACAAGTAATGAAGTGAAATCTCTTTATCATGAAGTTGAACTTACAAATGTAGAATTATGTACAAAAATAACTGCATTCCAAAATAAAAGAATGTAAAACGTTAGCGCCTACAAGTCCACTCAGTCCTATTTCTTGTTTAACCAATCACTCAGACAAATAAGTTTGTTTATATTTACAGAAAATAATGCTGCCTTCTTGTTTATAATGTCACCTGAAAGTGAGAACAGGCATTCACATGGCACTGTTATAGCCGGCATTGCAAAATATTTACATGCCAAATGCACTAAAGATTTGTATGTCCTTTCATGCTTCAGTCACCAGTCCAAAGGACATTCGTTTGTGCTAATGATCGTTCTGCTCAATAACAATCCAAAGCAGTGTGGCCTGCCATATGTTCTGTAGTTTCCACATCAGAGTGTTGCTCTTTTAAAGACTTCTAAAAGCATGTTCTACACTTAGTCCCTCTCAGATTTTGGATGGCACTACAGATTTTTAAACCTTGGGTCAAATGTTACAGCTATTTTAGAAATCTCGCATTAGTACCATCTTTATGTTTGTCAACTCTGCAACAAAACTGTTCTTAAAATCATCATCCAAGGATCCTATAACATGAAATATGTGGCAAAATGTGGGTAAACCAGAGCAGGAGACATACAATTCTCCCCCCTCAAGGAGTTCTGTCACAAATTTAATTAATGCTTTTTTTTTTTAAAGTGTCAGCAGCATGGAAGCATGTCCTCTGGAATGGTGGCCAAAGCATGAATGGGCATATGACTGTTTAGCACATCTGGCACATAAATACCTTGCAATACCAGCTACAAATCTCCCATGTAAGCACCACTTCTCACTTTCAGGTGACACTGTACATAAGAAGTGGCAGCATTATCTCCTATAAAAGCAAGCAAACTTGTTTGTCTTAATGAGTGGCTGAACAAGAAGTAGGACTGAGTGGATCTGTAGACACTAAATTTTTGTATTTGGTTTTGATTTTGAGTGCAGTTATGTAACTGAAAAAAATCTACATTTATAAGTTGCACTTCCATGACAAAAAAATTGCAGTACAATACTTGTATGAGGTGAACTGAAAAATACTATTTCTTTTGTTTATCACTTTACAGTGCAAATATTTGTAATCAAAATAATATAAAGTGAGTAGTGTATACTTTGTGTTGTGTTGTAACTGAAATGAATATATTTTAAAAATCAGAAAAAGATCCAAAAATATTTAATAGATTGAAATTGGTATTCTATTGTTTAACAATGTGATTCAAACTCTGATTAATATTTTAATCACTTAATTTTTTTCGTTAATCGCAGGAATTAACTGCAATTGACACCCTAGATTTAATACATTTTCCCTATTATTATTTCTAGCAAAAAGAACAAAAAGCTCATGTCACTACAAACAAAATACTTTGTCTGCTATAAGGTAACTTTTAAGAAAAGGTAGAAAACAAATGCGAGGACAAAAATCTCAACAAACGAGTTACTGATTTTTCATCAAGAAAGTCTTTTTTCCTATTTCAATATGAATTGCAATCTGTTTGTTCATTCTGTCTATGCAATCTTCAAATTTCAGGGTTTCAATCCCACAATAAATTATTTTCTATGTGCTAGTAAATAGCTGAATTGGCATTACCTTCTTTTCTTCCTGTAATACTATTACTTCATGATACCGTGGGATGTAGGGTTCATATTTTTTCTTGTCTTCCTTTCTGATGTTGACATTCTCATAATGCAATGCACTTTCCCTTTTGAAAATTTAAAGAGAGATTTATGAGTCTTCAGTTTCCAATGCCTGAACATGTAAATACGGTCAGTGAAAGCCTTTTGTCCTTTTACTTTGACTATGTTACAAGCAGCTGCTGTTTCTAATATTTAATGAAAGCCAAGATTACTCACTAATGGGTGAGAATAAACATATTGTACATTTATACTATAACCTACAGAAGCCACACAAATCATGTTTCACTAATTTTGGTTTGTAACTTTTTCATATTTAAATGTAGTCATTGTTATAGGTTGAGACTAACAAAAATGCCAAAAGAGAAAAAGCTAAAAATCAAATGTCAAACAGGTTAGGATTTCTGTCTTGTGAGATATATGAGCACTGAAAAGCAAAGCCTCAAGTGCCTTACAAGTCTCTTACTTGAACTGTGTATTTAATACTGTAACCTGACAAGATCTGCCTATTTATAGCACAGAGTAATTAAAATTCAAAAGCCTCTCAGTATTTTAATAGTGGCAATGCTCAGAAGAGAACCCCTTTATAATTTAAAAGTAGAGAGGCACCCATTTCAAGAAAACACTCTTTAAAAAGAAAGTTATTTCTATTGGCTATATAAAATGCTATCTTCTTGCCTGACATTCCAAGAAACCTATAGGAGGCTGCAAAAATAATTAAATCAGGACAGATACTTAATTATCCGATTAACACCAATCAACCTGTAGCTAAGGAATGTTAAAATTAGCTGTAAATATTCATCTCTGTTACTTCCTAATCAATTTGCTATTTCTTCAGGCATCATTCTTAAAACTTAAAATTCTATGGCAGATATAATCTAGGCCCTTTTTCAGCAGACCATTTAAACACTTGTTTAATTTTAAGCACATTCTAAAATTCTACAAACAGAGGTCACAATTCAAGAACACAATGATGAAGCATTTTAATTTAATTCTTTTTAGTATTAAAACTTAAGCCTACTTGTAGTAGAATGCAAAACATTACACCACAGAGACAAATTCTACCCTCAAAGCCCATCATATTGAATTATTTAAATGTGAACTGAATAGGCATCTCTCAGGTTAGTTTCTGACTCTATAAGTACAAGATAGAGGGCTAAAAAAATTCAAGTGTCTATGAGACTTAAAAGCCTATGTCTACATTCACAAATTACATCAATCTGCCTATATTGCTAGAAGCTATGAAAAATGTCACTCTCTGCGAAAAGTACTTAGGTCACCTTAATTACAAATGTAGACCAGGGATATAAAATCTCAATTAAGCAGTTAGCCACTTGTGGTGGGGCAGCTGCCCCATACTGGGCAAAAGAGGTTAGTGAAAGTTGGAGGGAGCCTACATAGAGCCCGGGTTCAATTCGGGAGTGGCTTTTAAGTAGCCAATCATGGTATAGCTTGCTGGGGCAGCCCTGTACAAAAGGAGCTGCTCAGGAAAGAGTAGGCAGTTAGGCCTGACCAAGGAAGGGGCAGGACCTGGTTCCTATAGAAGCATCTTCAGATAGAAGCCCCTTCAGGAGACCAGTGCTGGGCAGGCCCAGAGAGGCTAAAGAGGGAAACTCCAGCCTGAAACCTGCGAGGCTGCTGGCCTTGCTACAAGGGCCAGGAGGGTGAAAACGGTCACAGAGGAAGTGGCCCAGGGAACTAGAGGCAATAAAGGCGAGTAAAAGAGGGCAGGACAAGGCTTCCAACAGAGAGTCCCTAGGTCAGGACCCAGAGTAGTGGGTGGGCCTGGGTCCCCACCCTTCCCTCTTGCACTGAACCTTACCACCAATGCATGACTGTGGCTTGCCCCTGACATATGGAGCTAGACTTTGGGACCGCAGTTGGCCACAGTGACAGTAGAAACACAGGACTGTGATAAACCCCTAGAAGGGAAACAAGAGACCACTGGAGTCGGCACTAGCGAAGGGCAGTGTCCTCAAGAGGATACTGTGGTCAGGGAGCAATGAGGATCTGGAGTTGGAGTGTGGAGCTAGGACGGGAGAGACACCAGCCAGAAGGAGGTGCCCTGCTGCCGAAATAACTAATTCCCCAGAGAAACCAGCAGGAGGCACCACAGTGGTGAGTTGACCCATTAAATGTTAGATTTACCTAACATTTTACTGGTTAACTAACTAAGCTGGATCCCAGGAGGAGGACTGCTTCAACCCAGCTGAAGCTGCCCCCAGCCTGCGGGGTTCCCGGCCCCAACCTCCAGCCACATGGGGCTGTCTGCTGGCTCCCAGCCCCAGTCCCAGCTACACCCAGTAAGGGTGATGCTTAATGGGTAACCAGTTAACCCATTCATATCCATAATGTAGACATAGCTACATCAGCAGAAGAATTCATCCAGGGTCCGTCTAGACTACATGGCTCCGTCGACAGAGCCATGTAGATTTGTTTACTGGGCATAGGGAAATGAAGCGGCAATTTAAATAATCGCCGCTTCATTTACATTTAAATGGCTTCTGCACTGTGCCAATCAGCTGACATCAACAGCATTTGTCAACCTCCCCGGTATGCCGTCAACGGAGCCATGTAGTGTAGACATACCCTCAGTGACCTAGTTACAGCCCCTCAAAGAAGATTAACTATACTGATGTAAAGTCCCTTCCATTAATATAAGAAGTATCTACACTACAGTGGTAGAGATGTAACACCCTAGCTGTGGCATTGTATTATAGACATATCTGCAGTCCCATTTTCAGTACTTCAGGCAATTGGGGCCAGATTTATAAATGAATTTAGATATTTGAAAATGCATATAGGCACCAATGGAATTTACAAAAGTGCTTATGCAGGTTAGGCACCTAAATAACATTGAAGGTCATTTTTAAATTAAGGGCTAATATACAAACCCTTTTGCTTCACATGCCAGTGATAAAGGACTTAAGCAGTTGTTCATCCACAATACAGTAAAGGATGAGGAGCAAATTTGTATTTTAAATGTCATAATACGTTTAAAGAACAAGATTCCTTATATAGCAGACAAGGCAGCTAGCGACAGCCTAAGAAATGAAGCAAGGCTGACACTATCTTTACTCTTCTGTGAACATGGCTACAGACTAACCAGGCATGAGTATCACTATATTTCTCATCCATTGTACTACGGAGTGCAGACTTCCTATTTTTTAGAATAGAAATTTTAGTCATAGTACTCAAGACCTTCTGAAAGAAGTTTATACTTTTGCAATCATTGAGTACACTGCTTGTCACTAAAACAAACCTTTTTAACGTTATTTTCATTGTTCCTAGACAGTAGCAACATAGGTCATTCTTACCAGGAAGTTTCCACTTATTTAATTGGGATTGTCTAGGTCAGTGGTCACCGACCAGTATATCAGGATCTACTGGCAGATCTTGGAGCCTCTGACAGGTGATTCTGACTGGTTTGGCCAAGAGGCGATCAAGCACAGCACTTCAGCTGCCCCTTTCTCCACTGCTGCACATCTCCTGCCCTTTGCATTGGAGCTGTCCCACCCTCCCCAGGAAGCCTCCTGCTTGCTGTGCAGAGCAGGGTAGAGAAGGGGCGCTGATGTCAGGGTACCCCCTCCCACCCTGTATCTTATCTTCACAGAACGGACTAGTGGGGGCACAGGGCTTGGGATGGAGGGAGTTTGCTGGCTGCTTTTGAGAGTGGTACAGGGCCAGGGCAGAGGTGAGCCTGCCTTAGTCCCACTGTACCACCACACAGGAACCACCTGAAGTAAGCAGTGTCCAGCTGGATCCAGCTCCAAACCCCTGCTCCAGTTATGAACCTCCTCCTGTACACCAAGCCTGAGCCTCCTGGACCCAAACTCCCTTACAGAACCTGTACCCTGAACCCCCCTCCTGCACCCCAGCTCCTTGCCCCAGGCACCGCTCTGCTCTCACACTCCAAATCCCTTAGCCCAAGAGCAGAGCCTGCACCCCAACCCTCTGCCCCTGCCTGGTGAAATGAAGGGAGGATGGGAGAGGGAGAGAAGATGGAATGAGCAAGGGTGGGTCTCAGAGAAGTGGCATGAAGGAGGCAGGGCAAGAGTATTTGGGTCTGAGGTAAATCCCGGATTGCATTTACAGCCACTCCCTGAGTTATGACCACCTCCACTTACGACCATCCGCACTTACGACCAAAGTGGTTGTAAATGCAGATCCAAGTTACGAACGGCGATCCACGCTTATAAACAGCGCGGTCGCCATGTAGCTCTATGGGATCCAAATTACAAACACTTCGAGTTACGGACCAAGTGTAAATTCAAAAAGTGATCTAGTGCTTAAAAAGATTGGAGACCCCTAGTCTAGGTACATGGATTGTTTGGCGACCTTAACTATTTCCATACTGTGCCCCTCAAGTCTCAGTAATTACTGGCTTGGGATGCAAAACCAATCCCTATGTAGAATTCAAGTGAAATTAAATAATTATATAATTGGAATTAGGGATGTTAAACAGTTAACTGGTTAAATATACCAGTAAACACAATATACGAAATCTGTGAACCCAACCTTGCCAGTCAACTTTAGCAGAGATCAGCTGCACCACGCTTGAGCAGCCCTGGCCATGGAGGAGCTTGTGGGCTGAGGGGCAGGACCCTATAGCCACAACCATAGCAGGGCCAGGCAGAAGGACCTCAATTAAAACCATTAACCGGTTAAGTGCTATCATTTAACCATTTTAACATCCTTATTGAAATCAATTTGAATTCTCTTTCTTTTTGGAATTAACAGACATAAAATAAAAAGTGACACATTTTTACTTACTGAGTTATGTCATACTCCCCAGGTCCAGGCCCTTCCTGAGCCTTAAATTCACCACGTTTTCCTGTTAAATTACCAAAATGTACTCCTTTATACTTCATGGCAGAATAGGCACTATTCTGGAAAATAAAGATAAAGACATTTTACAGTTTATGTGCCAAATTTTTTAGCTCTGGTCTCTAAGATATATATAGATAGATCTGTTTAACATGTGTGATTCAAATGTTATTACACTGCATCTTAGTTTGTGTATAGAAAAGCCAGAAAAAAAAATCCAGAAACACTTGTTTCTGTTTCTGCCAACTTACCAAAACCAAAGGTTTCCTAGAAGCATTTCCATTACAACAAAACTTCTGACGGACCCAAGGGATGTCTCCTGCTCGCTTGCCCACCTGGCTCCTTAGCACCCTGCTAAGCCAGAAGCCTCAGATCTTGGGAGTGCCAGCTCCCCGTCAGTTCACCAGGTGGACAACTAAGGACACAGATTGGGTGCCCAGTTGACTGCCATGGAGATCCAGACTCTCAAAGTGAAAACTGAATTTGACATAAATCTTGTCAATTTCATTCCTTAGTAACGGTTGTGAAACTGACTACAGGAGGATAATTCATTTTGGAAATACTATGCTTTGGTAGAATACTATGAAATTTCAGTTCCATAATCAATACTTGAGATTTTGACTTTTCATCCCAAATTGGAACAAAAATATTTCTGAAGAAAAGGAAATTATTCACCCTGTGCAGTAACAACTGTTCTTCAAGGCATGTGTCCCTATGGGTGCTCTACTTTTGGTGTCAGATCATCCCTGGAGATGCAGTTCAGAGCATACGTGGAAGGCGCCTCACACCACTTGCAGTTGGAAGCCTCGCACGTGCAGCCTGAACACATACCCTCCAGTTCCTCATCTACGCCAGAGTAACTAAGACTCCAAGTAGATGGGAGAAATGGAGGGTCATGGAGCACCCATAGGGAGACACACCTCAAAGGACAGTCGCTACTGCACAAGGTGAGTAACTTGTCTTCCTTGGGTGATGTCCCCGTAGGTGCTCCTCTGTTGGTGACTAAAAAGCAGTATTCGACATGGATAGTGAAACTTGGAGTTACTGCTTAGCAACAGAGGATAGTACCGCTGTAGCCACTACTGTATCAGCTGCTAGCTGAGGCATGATAGTGTAATGTTTGGTGAAGGTATGGTGAGATTACCAGTGGCTGCCTGGTATATGTCATTATGGGGCACAATATTTAGGAATGCTGTAAATGTTGCTGTGGTACGAGTGGGATGTGTTCTCAGGTTGAGCTGTCCACGGCTTTTTGCAAAGAGAGTGACGTTGCAATATACAGGATAATATCAGTTTGGAAATATATTGTGGTGAAATTGGTGTGCCCTTGGAGTGGTTTGCACCAGACACAAAGAGGCATGGGGACTTCCAGAATGCCTCTGGCCTATCTATATAAAATGGGAGAGCCTGTTCAATGTCCAAAGTGTGAAGCATAGCATCTCTGGGGCTTTGGGAGAAACGTAGATAGGACAATGGGCTCATTGATATGAACGGTATTGACTTTGAGTAGAAATGATGGATGCGGTCTTAAAGTCACTTTGTCCTTGGCAAATAGTGTATAAGGAGGTCCCGCCATCAAGGCCCCTATCTCACTAACCCTCCTTGCTGAAATAATGGCCACTAAAAATAGCACCTTCATTGTAAGTTGCGGGGGGGGAGCCTCATAAGGCAACCTAAAACTAGGATTAGATCTCATGTGGGCACTGGGGCCCTGTGAGGAAGGTCCTGGAGATTCTGGAGGCCTTTGAGGAATCTTCTGGTGACAGGAAGTGAAAAAACAGATGTTACATCAATCTTTACATTGGTGCAGATCGGAATCTACCAGTAGATCTTGGAGCCTCTGACGGGTAATCCTGACTGCTTTGGCCAGGAAGCTACCACCCATTGTCTTACTGCTCCTGCCCTCTGCCTTGGAGCTGACCTGTTGGGAGTCTCCTGCTTGCTGTGGAGGGTGTCGGAGGGAGAAGAGGGGGGATGCTGATGTCAAGGTGTCTCTCCTCCACACTTGTCCCCCCCCCTCCACTCCTGTACCCTATCTTCACACAGAGAGAAGGGAATGGATGGAGCCTGGCAATGCAAATCTCTGTCATTCTCACAAACACACGCTCTCACCTTCCAACACAACATATGCATGGAAGGAGTTGTTTGTACTTCTTTTATTGCTTGCAAAGTGTGTTAGTTTTGGGTTTTGATTGGTCTGTGCCTTTCATAATTTTCATTTCTCTCTTATGCTTACATTCCATTCTTTGAGTAAAGAGGGATGGAGCCTGGCAATGCAAATCTCTGTCATTCTCACAAACACACGCTCTCACCTTCCAACACAACATATGCATGGAAGGAGTTGTTTGTACTTCTTTTATTGCTTGCAAAGTGTGTTAGTTTTGGGTTTTGATTGGTCTGTGCCTTTCATAATTTTCATTTCTCTCTTATGCTTACATTCCATTCTTTGAGTAAAGAGTTCTAGA